ATGGAGAGGAGGAGCGGGGGTGCTGACTCTCAGCTACAGGCGACCCACGCTGTGTGCTCGGGGACGCTGGAGCGGTGAGAGGGGCTGGCTCTGGGCGCTGCTGCTGACCCGGTGGAGGTGAGCGGTGGTGATGATGGCTAGCTACCCCAGTCTGAGGCTGCTGCACTGGGGTCAACATGGCTGGTGGACCGCTCTTTCGCCTGAGGACTGCTTCCTTTAGGAGCGTTTTCCTCGCAGTGGACTTGGATCCTCGAGCAGTAGAGTTTGCTGCAGTGTCCAGGGATTCTGCTGAGGGGGCCGGGATGTCGGTGGAGAGGGCTGCATAGCGGTTTGCCAGACTCAGGACATGGGCCACGGCGCAGGATGGCTCCTCGGAATCCGCGGGCTCGTTATTCGTAAGCGGGCGCTTAGGTGTAGAACAGGAGGGTCCGGAGCTGACCACACGACAGTGTCACAATATGCAGCGCTCAGTGACATCAGCCGTGAGTGCTGCCCACCAGCGACTTCAAAAAGTTTGGATACTAGAGATTGTTTCTCATTCAACTCTGCGGTGAGACGAAGGACTTCTTTTCGTAGATCTGCAATGGTGGCACGGTCGCTCTCACGGAGCTCCAAGGTGAGGCGACTAATATTGTGCATGTTTGAGCCAATTTCATTGTCACTTTCCATGTCCTCGTTAGCTTGTGTTAGCCTCTGTGCTACTAGTGGGTTTCAGTCGGGACTAAGTGCTATTTGCTGAAACCACTGAATTAAAAAGATAAAACACTCAGATATATTAAAAAACTGAACAATAAAAACGCGCTAAAAAGTTGTTAAAAGTTTACTAAAAAGGTGCACAGAGCAGCCCTGCAGTACTGCTTACTTTGACACACCTGCGTTGTGTCAAATTTGACTTATTATAATTAAGTCACAGGGGAACTTTTTCTTGGGATTACAAAGTATCTGAAAACATAATTCTGTTCGCTCGGACCCGCTCACACTACCAACCAGTGTGGGCGGGTCCCAGCCATGGATCTATTATAATAAGTGGATAGGGTATTACTAGCTTGTAGCTGAATAACTCATGTGCTCAGGGGATTCTCGCGGTACTGCAGACTGAACCAGACTAAATTCACGTGGGCTACCCAGAAATTTTCCCCATAGAAGTCAATGCATATTAAAACAGCTCAACCTCAGCTGACAGAGAACCTACAGCTTTCATAAAGGTCGGATTTTGTGGGGATTTTAGTGTCCCTTGTCATCCTGAACTTTTTTTCTTCTTAAATCCTTCGGTTTTGTTTAAATCCACACTTTAGTGCCTCAAACTCTCCTCGTCTGGCTCTCGCTCTAACTCCCGCTCTGATGAACTGCTCTGATTGGTCAGAGCGCGGCCGAGCCCCTCTGTGCACGTGCGTGAGACCCGGTGTGAGACCCACACACGCGTGTTTGACGCAACGCATTATGGGAGATCATCCACTGCGCAGAACCGGGAGGACCAGACGATGCCCAAAGACAGGCGAGATTCCCATAGATCTTTGCGAGTTTCCCAAAGATCTTTGCGAGTTCCAGGCGACTTCCACTAATCTTTCAGCCCCCATGCCGTCACAAAGCACCACTGAGCACAACCATTCATTTGAATAGGGCGCCATCTTGACTCTCCGGGGCTTGGTCCCAGCTCAAAAATGTCCATGAGCACATGCGCTGACATACTTGCAATCCTACCCCGGGCCAGTGGGGGTGTATCCAGAAAAAAAATATCCAATGGTCTTGTATGTCGTCTTGTTTCCTCTCGAAAACGTTTACAATATGGTCCAAAAGTCAGCTCTTGGTCTGAAATAACGCTCCGGATGCTGTCAATGCTGAGGGAAGTATATTTTTTGGACCAGTCTAGATTAGCCGCTGTGGACTTCAGAATGCACTCGTCAAATGAATGGGGCTGGTGATGGCTAACGCATGCACAAATGCTTTTTTTTCACATTTTCCATCTATTGCATAGAGGATGCGTGCATCACAAACCCAGAAGATCCTAGTCTGTACTTGCTTGGCTCTTATTAGCTCTTGCTGTGCAAAATAATCTTCCTGAGGAGTGACACTTCTGGTATTGTCTGTGTAATCCACAGTTGATTTATTCTTGACAGCCACAGTTGAGAAGAAATAAACATTCCCATTGGATTCCATATAGAATGCATGCGGGTCATTTTTGACCCACTGATGGAAGCTTGGGGTAGCAATACAAAAACAAAAAATTCTTAAAATATATGAAAAGTTTGTCAAAAATGTAAATGGCATTATATCATGTTTTTTGAGTAAAACATGGAATATGAAATGATAAACAAACACACTACAAAGATGTTTCAAGAAAACGACCTCACCGGGTCATTTTTGACCCACTCATGCATCTAAGAGTTAAACTATTTGTGTGTAGAATGTTCTGTATTGGGCTAAATTGTTTGACAACACTGCCTCACTATCCCAACTTGAATAGTTATATATTCATGTCCAAAATGTTTTTGGATTTTTTTTCATCTTATTTTAATTTCCACCACTATCCCCATGTTAAACCAGTCCATGTACCCCTTGCTCACTTAATCCAAGACCGTCCGTCTGATTGGGAACCTCGTATGCTTCAATCTTTGCACTCTGGCATCAGTCGGCAGAAGTTGGCTTCATTAGACCCTTTCACGCAACATTTGTGAATTCATTTAGCATTTGTAAAAAGGCAAATTAGAACAAGTACACAGATCAGCTCAGCCACGAATAATAGTAACAATAAAAAAGTGTTATTGGGATGAAATTGAAACAATTCATTACTTTCAGCATGTAACAATATATTGAATCATTAATTAGATATGTCAAATAAACAATCTCACACCAAGCTTGTACAACAATAATTTGACATCATTAACCACTCACATGTCTTAACGGTGAAACTACCTCATACCTGCCGCATGCATTTTGAAACACGGGGCAAATATTGTTCATTATTTGAGTGGAAAAAACCCTCATGTACAAAGTGTCGGGCAGAAAAGCTCTTGAGCGCGGCGTAAGTGGCTCTTAATCACTGCGCAGCCACTGAAGCTGATAAAGGCGGCGCATTAATGAAACAACCTTGACATAAGAGTTTGACAGGTACACAGCCCGTCTGCACCAAGCAGCCTATGCCCACTTATAATTACAGCATTCACTTCGGCTGAGCTTTTGCAGTTCATTAAGGTCATTTTGTTTTAGATTTATTTTAAAAAGAAGCAAATTAAAATGTCTATAAGGGAAGAGCATTGTCCACTCTGAACCAGACTGGTCACGTGATCTGTTGCAAAGAACCGTATGACATAAGCACAGACATTTGAGCGGTATTGTTTAAGGAAATAAATGTTTGTATTAATGCCTTGTAAATTAACGTGAAATGGAAAGATCAGAAATTATCTCATAGGCATATTATGCATTAATTTTTACCATCAAAAACAATTAATTAACGTCCTTCTTCAAGTAGTCTATCTTTAAGTAGAAAATATATGGCGAAACAAGTATGAAGGGTAAACAATGCTGTTGCCCTGCACTATCCCATATTACCAGCAAAGGAAGGAGTAGTATTTGTTTTATTTATTTCCAAATTTGAACATTCCCGACAGCCAACACCAACATTTGATTATAAAGAAACATAAACTAAGGGCGATACTTTGGTTTTAAAATGCAGAAAACTTCTCTGAGTGTGATGTCATAGTGGTACAATGACATCACACTATTACGACAGACAAGACAGACCAGAGATTTTAGACAAAAGGGACAGAGTTACATGTACGGATGGATCTAAAACCAACTCTACAGTAGGTCTGTTTTGGGGAGGCCTCCTTATGTGTCTCACAAAAACACAAAAAATTCCAGATGTATGATGTCATTTTCTGAAATCTGGACTTTATAAATTATTGCAAGATTCTTACGATTACACTCATTACAACTGCTCTCATGATTTATGCCAGTGGATGAAGTGCTCCTCACTTGTGAAAGAAACGGATAGTTTTGATGCATACAGGAAGTTGTCAAAGCAAAGAGCATAATTAAAGGTTAATAGCAATGAAAATATAAATATATACAGTAAATAATGCATAAGGTTAAGATATGCGCCATTGTCCCCGTAGGGAAATGTGTCCTCTGCGTTTGACCCATTCAAAGGAAACTGTCAGGAGCAGTGGTCGGACTGGGACCCAAAATGGCCAATTGGCTTTGTCAGGCCTAGAATCAAACCTACAACCTTCTTTCTGTGCATGGGTGCTCCCCACTCAGACACATAACAGACTCTTGGTTGTGTTCACTCAGTTAACAATCATTAGAAAAAGAGGGAAGAAAAACCCCTCTGCAAAAATGGACCTATCGATGATGATAAAGATGACTTCTCAGAACTGAACAACACTGACAATGATGTGGGAGCGGATCCCTCTCTCAATATAGGCCTCCCCAATGTTTCTGACTTCTTCCTTCTGGGGTTTTGAGTTGTTCCTTGCTGATGCAGGAGGGTCTAAAGCCAGTGGTGACATTTAAGGAGATTTTTGGACATTTATTATCACCATCATCTGCCCCTATATGGACCAATGGCTCCTATGCGTTTGTTATTGATGCCTTTCCTGGGTTCAAACAGTTTGATTCTCTAATCTGTGATGTGAATCTTTGTATAGTCCTCTGAGATGACTACTGTTGTGATTTAGAGCTTTAAAAATTGAAATAGATTTTAATTGCGACTGTACAAAGCTCAAGAGTCACAATTGGTATGAATTTGAAATAGTCTATAATCAATGGGTTCCGAGCAAGTAAACAGGATCAATCAAGTTAATTGCAAATTTGGGCATGTTTTTGATTGGGGAATATTGTTATGATTTAGTGATGGTAGAAAGTAGTAGTGTCATATGTGTTTTTCAAAGACCTTTCACAAGTTTATTTTGCCTCTGCATGTAGAACTGCTCGGCAGTTGATTAATGACAGATTGTTGCCAGTAAAAATACTGCTAATCACTATCACACCCACGCGAGTCATCCGTCATTCCCAAAAATACCCAGACCCTCCCTCCCCTCCGCCGCTGTGTCCTTCAGACAATTATGGAGCAGGGACAGAGCTCTGACAGAGCCGTCCAGGCTCAGTGTGGTGGTGGTGGTGAAAGTGAACTCAGATCTATCACGCAGCAGCTCCTGTCCGTGTGCGAGTTCTCGGGCCGCACACAGACTGCTCTCAGTCTGGTTCAGGGGCCAGTCCGAGGCCCCTGCTGCTGGAGACCGGGGCCCACACGGCTTCATCCTGGCTCATGTCCAAAACTAAAAAGCAGCCATCACTGTCCTTCACCCTGGAGCTCTGACGGATGTGGCTCTCTTACCGAGTTTAAAAAATGGTTTTCACATGTCTCTATAAAGAGATGTAATATAGTGGCTGAACCCCCAACAGAATGTATATTAATAAATAAATCACCACTAAATGACACACATTCAGAATTTTTTATGATAGACCTTTAAAAATTATCTTTAATATCTTGAAACATTTGCAGTTCTCATGAGCACCAATATGCATCAAGAATACGAGTCAAGGGAAATTTGACCCATCCTTTAGCGCCACTAAAAATACATATTTTTGAATGGTTTTGAGAATATATGTTTCAGGTGTTTTCATTCTTCAGTGATTGACTTTTTTATAAATACCATATGTTTGATTGATTAGATTTATTTAAAACATGCAACTGTGAGCAATTGAAACTTGGTCAACATTTCCACTCCCTTCTAAAACTTGTAAAGACAACAATAAAAGATGGATAATTGTTCTTTCCCGGCAGACGACAGGGCGCTGATGGAGAGCAGACTTGTATCATCTGCTGTATGTGTCACATCCACAGTTGCACTAGCGCTGCTCCTCCGGTGTCAAAGCTCTCCAAGCCAAGCAGATGGAGCAAGCCAGCAACAGAAGGCCTCGCAATCACCAGTCATTTGATTTGAGATGGAGATCTGATTTAATTATCTGTCCAACCAAGTGGTTTGTCTTGGAGGGGAGTCAACCGGCTGCCCACTGTACAATATGTGTAAGCAACTGTTACACTGGTCTGTTATGATAGGAGTACACGGGGAGAGCCCTTACACGGGAAGGGCCTGAGGCTTCACGCTCTCAATGAAAATAAGTATAAAACATATCACAAGATTTTGATGTGTTAGTGACTTCTCCTTTGTGGACTTAAAACTCCACATTATAAGTGCGGCATATTAAAGCTGATATGGTATAATCAACATCTATTGTGACGGTAAACTACAACTGAAGCCACAGCTGTGTCTTGCCTGAGGACACAATTTAACTAGTCAACTTACTTCTTCAGAGATGTAAGTAATTTTTATTTATTCAGTGCATTTTACAGACCAAGGTCACCCCAAGCTTTACAATGTTCAGAAATCAGATATTTTTTCATTCACACACGGGGATGATGGAAGCGAGACGCCGAACACACTGGTGCATCAGAGCCCTAAACCAACACCATTCACTCAGTCACTCTTTACATTCATACCATACCAAACATGTTTTTAGTGGTAGGGGAAAACGGAGCAGGCACGGGGAGAACATGTAAACTCTACTCAGAAAGATATTCAGTGATCCTGGCACCCCCCATTTCATTTCAGTGGCCTTTTATTGTGGAGGTGGAATGAACTATCCCAGCAATGGGGAAGGTACTATTTTGCACACATTTGCACACACACAAAAAAGAGACTACTAATACTTTAACATGATGACTTTGTTGACATTTTAACTGGTGCAAGTGGGTATAGGCTGCTTGGTCCAGAATGTAAATTGTGTCAAATCCCACCCAGAAACTGAACATTCCGAATAACTGTATGAGCTCCAATCCAAACTTTACTCAGCTCTCGATTTTGAGGATTTCCATAATTCTAACCAATGCTACATACTTTTAATACCTTCTTGACCCTGTTCCTGTTTCTGCCGAGGTCAAGCAGGGACTAAACTGATCTGACAGGGATTGGTCAGGGTGCTGCTTGAATTAATGGTTACAGAATTTCCCATGATACTGGGAAACTCCTGAATAAGTAACTAAGTAAGTAATATTTAATTATACAGCGCCGTTCACAGACCAGTCACAAAGAACGATACAATTGTTGCGGCCATTTATCCTCTCCCTGCACACATGAGAGTGGCCAGACCTATTGTACATGTTTTTAGTGGGGAAACCGGAGCGCCTGGAGGACACCTTTGCAGACACGGGGAGAACATGCAAACTCGACACAGAAAGGTTTGGAGGTGGAATTGAACCCAGGACCTTTTTGCTGTTAACTGCCACAATAAATAAATTATGAAGAATTTTGGATCTAAATTCCCTGTTTTTTCCATGGTTTTGAAAGTACGCACACACGTTATATTAAGAATAAAACACTTTCAGTTATACGGTTTTATGGAGAACTATATTGAGTAAAATATCTGAAACTGAAATGATAAGTCGTGTTTTTTGATTTCCACCTCTACCCAACTCTCACACGAGAACAACAAAGACACCGGGATAATGAACCAAAATTACAATCATGTCCGATTCCGCTCTGTGATTTGAAGAAGTAAATTAAATGGCGTTGTGTCGGCAGTAGTTTGAATAAAAACAAAATGAGACGTATTTAACATTCACGGACAAAGCCGCAAAAGTGACAATCGTCCGTCGCCATGGAGATGGGTAATGTCCGCGGATCATTGTGTAGACGCGTGTGGGCAGGCTTAATGCAGATAGGATGCCATTATTATTTTCTGTATCCTAATGACCATCATTATGCATGGACACTGATTGAATTCCATTTGTTACCTGCGTTTGAGCCTGAGTGGAATAATTACCATTTAAGTATCGCTATTAAAATTCATGCACGGATGTTCGGCTTCTTTTAAAAATAACCACTCTTTGAATAGAAAAGTGTTGATAATGCGACAAGTCTAATTACATATGTGCTTATTGTGGCTTTTTAAGTTTGTCTGCAAATGAAAGTGATCAGATTCTGCTGTGTTTCTACCAATACAGCAGGCGCTTCATATTTAATTAAAATAGATTGGCGGCTAAGTGTGATCAATTCAACAGCTGCTCTGAGGGGCTCTTTCAACCTTTTCTGTCACATTTACAATGTTTACAAGTCCACAATGTGATATTCATGTTGTATTAATTGGTTTTAAAATAGTATAGTCTTTTGCTTTTTTCCAAAGAAATATTCCATCTTGAAGAGTATGGCATAAAACGTATCTCTAAATGTCCAGAAGTACGTTTTTGTTCCATGTTCTAATACAATACTATTGCTGAGTCCAGACTCCTCATTTCATTAGACCGGAGAATCATAATATGTTTGTTTGTATGTAAGGGTGCACTTTATAAATCCCTGTAGGGCAATTCATCCTCTGCATTTGACCCATCCTGATGCCTAAGGCTTCCGTCAGGAGCAGTGGTCGCCCAGGAACCCATCTCCAGATGTTGATACTCGGCTTGGTCAGAACCAGAGCTGGAGGATTTACCTAGTGTGCATGTTTTTAGTTGTAGGGGAAACCGGATCACCCGGAGAAAACCTACGCAGGGACGGGAAGAACATGCAAACTCCACTCAGAAAGACCCTGTTCCGACCGGGATTCTGACCCAGGGCCTTCTTGCTGAGAAGCGAGAGTGCTATACACCGTGCCGTCATGTTTAATTGGAGGGGGCAGTGTGCACAGAAAGTGATAGAGGAGATACCAGGAGAAACTTCACACAGAAAGGCCCTAGAACCCAAAAATAACCAATGGATGTACTGTAGGCTGACAAATTTCAGCCTACATTCATTTATTTCCAATCTGTAAAACATAGGTTTTTTTCTAGTAACAAACTAACGGTAACATGGTACATGGTCTGCAATATCTCTGTGATTACTGGAACCAGCAACAAATAACTGAAATATGCATTTACATTCCTAGGAGATAATTAATGTTTGTTTAGCATCAGTGATTTACAGATGAAATAGTGCTTAGTGCTTGTATTTGAGTCCATGGAGTTTCTCTGTAGAATCCTCTCTTCACGTCCTGTTTCAAGACTTCAGTTGGTTCTAGGTCCACAAGTTTTGGTTAATTTCTTGATGATCAAAGTGGATATTTTCATCAACTCTCAGTCTGCACTCCGGTCCAGGAGCCATCTGCGCAGTCATCGCTCCCATTAGAAAGTGCAGACTGGGCTTTTAAACTGCAGCCAGTTTAGGCTCCTGTCTGCGCTCTTTCAATAGGGATAAGATACAGCAACGTTGAAAGCAAGTTACACAGCCTAGTGTTTTCTTTGTGGCTGTTGATTGGATCGGCTCGACATCAGCCACGATTCAAAAACTTGTCTACGACCACCCCCATTTCCAGCGGAAAGGCGTGGCTTACCATACTTTTCTGACTGTGAATGTGGGACAACAAATTGAAATTCGCCCAAGGGTACGATCCAGATTATTTCCAGCCCTTCATTAAGGCAAACTATACTAATATCTGATTACTGCAGTTTCTGTAGTGAGTTGATATTAATTCTGAAGCAATTATGTGTAAAGTATTTGTATGTATGTGGGCTATAAATAAAGATTTCTTACTTTAGTTTTTTTCCTACAAATGATAGCTTTAAATGAAAAACAATTCCACATCACATTACATTACTATTACAACACCTCACAGCTTTTCTCTCTCTCACTCGCCATTTTAGTTCCACTTTATACCCTTAACCACTGGTTGCTTCCCGGTACAAGTGTTTACATCTTGGGTAAATAAGACTTTGTGCTTTGCTAACACAGCCATCTCTGTCTCTCCCCTGCTCTACAACAGATCCAGGCCCAGCTAATCCATCACTGACAGATTAGTGCTACGGCCACTTCCACACGCATTAACGGGGGACAAATGCAGACTTACCAGTGAACGAGACGCTATTCTGAAGCCAAGAGAGGGACTGCTGGGTGATTTATCAAAGTCAGGCTAGGTGAGAGGAGAGTGGTTTGAGTGTGAGCTGAGTTTACTGTAAATCAGACGGGTTTTATTGCTGGATTCAGTTTCTCATCCTCCGTGGACACGATTCATTTTGACGCCAAGCCTATTACGATTTGGGACTGGCCACACAATAAATCAAGACAATAATTTCTCAGTTAGGCGCTTGTTTCTTTACGGGAGGCAGTGCTTTTCTGCGATAAAGATTTACAGGGCGTGAAATTATAGAATCCGTCTTGGATAACAAAGAATGTAAAAGTTATATCTTGGATGAGTGGGAACAGTAATAGGCGCTCCTGATTAAACCATA